GCCACTGCATTCCAGCCTAGGTGACAGAATGAGACTCTGTCTCAAACAAAACAAAACAAAACAAAAGCATTATATCCTTTCACCCATTACCAATTTTTAAATATTTGCTATAATCCTTATGATACTAGCTATTAGATGGTAAAATTCATCAAGCTACTTCTATTTTTTTCCATTAAAAAAAATAAAAGCAGCTGGGTGCGGTAGCTCACACCTATAGTCCCAACACTTTGGGAGGCCGAGGTGGAAAGACTGCCTGAGGCCAGGAGTTCAAGACCAGCATGGGCAACACAGCAATACTTCATCTCTACAAATGTTTTTTTTGTTGTTTGTTTTTAATTAGCTTAGCATGGTGGTGCACACCTCTAGTCCCAGCTACTTGAGAGGCTGAGGTGGGAGGACCACTTGAGCCCAGGAGTTCGAAGCTGTAGTGAGCTATGATGGTGCCACTGTATTCCAGCCTGGGCAACAGAAAGCCTGTCTCTAATAAAATTAAAATTAAAAAAGAGATATGACAACTAAATATAATGTGTGATTCTGCACCAGATCATGAAGGGGAAGGGCTGGGATCAGAAACTGCTATAAAGGACATTATTGGGGCAACTGTAGAAATGTAAATGTAGACTATATATTAAATAACAGTTCTGTATCAATGTTAAATTTTCCAAATTCAATAATTATTCTGTTGTTACATAAGAAAATGTCCTGGTTTTTTAAAAATACATACTTAATATATGCTTAAATACTTAGGGGCAGCCAGCCATCTGCAATTTACTCTCAAATGATTTAGAGAGAGAAAACAAATTTGGCTGAAGAGCACAGGGGAATTCTTTGAATGATTCCTGTAACTCCTCGTGAGTTTTAAATTACTTCAAGTTAAAAATATTTTTTAAAAAGAGATGCTTAGTATATTTAGAAAATATCAAAACTCTATTTTAAAAAGTTAAAAGAGGCCGGGTGCAGTGACTCACGCCTGTAATCCCAGCACTTTGGGAGGCCGAGGCGGGCAGATCACGAGGTCAGGAGATTGACATCATCCTGGCTAATGCAGTTTTAGTCTCTACTAAAAACACAAAAAATTAGCCGGGCGTAGTGGCAGGCGCCTGTAGTCCCAGCTACTCTGGAGGCTGAGGTAGGAGAATGGCGTGAACCCGGGAGACGGAGCTTGCAGTGAGCCGAGATGGTGCCACTGCACACTCCAGTCTGGGCAACAGAGCGAGACTCCATCTCAAAAAAAAAAAAAAGAAGTTAAAAGCACCATTTAAACAACCACTCAAAGAAAATGGCTGTTACTATAATATTTTTTGGTGTATTTCTTTCCTGATTTTGTCCTTTTAAAATATTTTTCATAATATTGTACTGCATATTCTACTTTTAATCTGCTCTTTTCCAATAGAATCATAACCCATTTTCATAAACCATGTATATACAAAATATAATATTCCATTGAACACATATACCATAAATTACTTAACCACTCCTCTATTTTTAGATATTTCTGCTATTTCCAACTTTATTTCCTGTAAATAATCATGTGCTGAATACCTTTAGGAGAAAATTTGGTCTATGTATACACTATACAAGATAGAATATGGGAAAACTGTAGGGCCCTTGCTGTAAGTTGTTAATTAGTACTGTTATTTTAAAATCTTAGAACAAATTTGGTTTAAATCACATCAGAAAGAGACATTAATTTATTATTTCAACCCAAAAGCAGTTAGTATTTTATTTCCATTTCCATATAATATATAAATCTGCCTCAGCCCTAATATTCCTTACAACTTTGTTGTAACATTTCCTGTAACTTTGGGGAAAAGTTTTGGTCATTAACAAATGGCTATATACACAACATTGTTCTTATCCATTTGCAGCCATTACTCCTTAACATCAGATTAAATTTACATTCTTAAACCTGAAAGAAAAGAATTTTGTAGGAAGAATTTTCACTCTGACTTAGTGATTAGCCTTTTAATGTGGGTGGGACAGAGCACTAAGACTTGTATTGGAAGAAAAAGAGTACATAAACCAAGCCCTGAAGAGCCATAGGAAACAATATGAATTGATACACAAACAATTCAAAGTTAAGTTGCACAGTACACTCTGATCCTGTAAGTGCTGATGAGTACAGAGATGTGTAGTTATACACATCTCTGGCTAGATGGGGTTATTTGGGCAAGGTTTCCTAGAATAGTCAAGTCTTACATCACAGATTGGTAGAGAAAAACAACAGGAAATAGGTGTACAATGTACAATTCTGGAAAAGGATGAGCTCAGATAAGAATGGTGTGTGAGCCAATGATAAAGGGTTTGAAGGGTGTTGCTGTTGTTGTTGTTGTTGTTGTTTTGAGACAGGGTCTCGCTCTATCACCCAGGCTGGAGTGCAATGGCACGATCTCAGCTCACTGCAGCCTCTGCCTCCCGGGTTCAAGCAACTCTCCCACCTCAGCCTCCTGAGTGGCTGGGATTATAGGTGCCAGCTAACACGCCTGGCTAATTTTTGCATTTTTGGTAGAGATGGGGTTTCACCATACTGGCCAGGCTGATCTCAAACTCCTGACCTCAGGTGATCCACCCAACTCGGCCTCCCAAAGTGCTGAGATTACAGGCATAAGCCACCGCGCCTGGCCTGAAGGAGTTTTAATTTAATACAAAGAAGTTGTATTCTTTAATATAAAGAAGTTATTTAATACAAAGTTATTCCAGCAGTGAGATGCTGAGAAGAGACCAGCAATAGTGACAACAGCTGTAACACCATTAGCACTGAATCATAATGATCTGGCTTAGAACTCAAAGAAATGGCAGGAAAAAAAGATGAATTTAAGAAACACTAGAGATTCAGAATTAATGGCATCCTAACACAGGGAAAGCTATAAGCTCCACTGTCCTCTATCCTACTGACCAACCTATTCTCATTCAGTACTAAGTACATTGTTTCATTATAAGATTATGTCTGGCAAGGTTAATGCCTTGCTCATTATTCTTCTCTCTAAAAATGTTCTTGACTATTTTATTCTGTTTATTATTCTACAATATCAGAAAAATCTGGTAAAATTCTAAAATAAATCCCTTTGAACTTCTCAATTACATGTTATTTGGTCCCCACAATATTTCAGAAAACCTGACATGTTTTTCCCCTTGGGGGAGAGAGGTCTAGAGTTTAATTTCTATCAAAGGTGTTTAAATGTCAAATTACCTTGACTAAAGAGATCTCTACCCCTTTATTCTTCTTTTACTACAACGAAAGAACAACTTACTGTATAAAATCCTAAATTTCTTAAGAGGGTCTTCATCAAAATTTCAGCCAGGTGGGTATCTGGATGGCAGCTCTGAGTGCCATAAGGTTGATCTGACAGATTTCCGTAGCCAGTACACACAGAAGACAGGTCAGTTGCATCAGAGGGTGAACTATAGCCAAGTAGGGAGGCTACGTGGGTATGATCTTGCAAACTTGTCAGAATGATATCCAGTTGCATTCTCTAAAGAACAATAAAATATGCACAAGTAACTAACATAATATGCACTAGAAAATAAAACAAAAGGATCCCAGAAAAAAACTACACTAATCTACTTAGTATCTTATTAAACAATCATCTTCAGGAAGTATGTAATTATAAAAACTACCCAACTAATCCCATTTAGGAAATGGGATTTAGGAAAATACAATTTATAGGTTTTTATTTTAGTCTTCATTATAATACCTAAATCTCTAAGCTAACATAGCATACTATGCATAATATTTTAGTACTATAAGTAGAGAGGAGTACGAAATGCCAATAAATAGTATGACACACGATTCTACAGCGTGACATTACCAATGACAACTACTTATTCTAACATTTAAAATAAATCACTTGAAATCTAAACTAATGCAAAATACTCGTTAAAAATCATCTGTAGGCTGGGTGCAGTGGCTCATGCCTGTGATCACAGCACTTTAGGAGGCCAAGGCAGGCGGATCCACTTGAGACCAGGAATTCAAGATCAGCATGGGCAACATAGTGAAACCCCCTCTACAAAAAATACAAAAATTAGCTGAGCATGGTGGTGCACACCTGTAGTTTCAGCTACTCAGAAGACTGAGGTGGGAGAATCACTTGAGCCCAGGAGGTTGAGCCTACAGTAAGCCGTGATCATGCCACTGCACTCTAGCCTGGATGACAGAGCAAAAACCCTGTCTCAAAAAAAAAAAAAAAAAAATATCATCTGTGGGCCAGGCACAGTGGTCTCATGCCTATAATCCCAGCACTTTGGGAAGCCAAAGCAGGAGGATCATTTGAGGCCAGGAGTTCAAGAACAGCCTGGGAAATACAGCAAGACCCCACAGCTATAAAAATAAGAATAAAAAAATAAGCCAGGTGTGGTGGCACATGCCAGCAGTCTTAGCTACTCCAGAGTAAAAAGCAGTAGGATCCCTTGAGCTCCAGGAGTTCAAGGTTAGAGTGAGCCATGATTGCACCACCCTACTCCAGCATGGGTGACAGAGCAAGACTGTCCCTAAAAAAGATTTAAAAAGAAGGAAAAGTATCAATAAATATTTTACTGCAAATAAGTACCAATTTTTTTTCCTAAAATCTGTATCTCTGAATCTGATAACTTCTACTTGGTTGAGCAAACGGTACTATTGCTCAAAGATAAACATGGAAAAAATAAGTATACTCATATCATCAAATACTTTTTCCTAATGGTCATCTATACTTTTTATACAAACAATTTCAGACAAAGTTCTCAGCATGGAACCAACAGCAGCACATGCAATTGATTTCAACTCAGCATACTACAAATAAACCACAGTGTCTGGCTTAGTACCATAAGAAACACTGGAAAAATTAGTCCTTATTCTAATAATTAGCCCCAAATAATAAATTATCACTTGCTTCACCTAAGGTTGTTAGACACCTGGGAATTCTTCCAGCATAAAACATTAAATAACCAGGATTTACTAGGCCCATCAAGTACTTATGCTCCATGAACACATGGCAATTGATTAGTTTTATTTCCTTCTCAGTTCAAATTTTTATGATACTGCTGATTTACTTACATAGTAAGCAAAGGCCTACCTGTCCTTTAGATAAGCTTTCCCATCTATCAGGCCCTTGAGGTAAAAGAGAATGAAGTAATTCCATCCGTTCTCGTAATGGAGGTAACAGCATGGTTGCTCCCACTGACAAAGTTTCAATTACCACCTAAAATCAAGAGAGAAAAGTGTACTGATTGGCCTGGTTCTTAGTTTTTAATAAAAACACACTTAAAGTGAATTCACTATTAGGATCATGTTAAGTCTAAAAAAGATGGCATGATAAAAAAGAAAGCACGTAAGTCCTCCTTCAGATGCCTTTAAGAAAGCTATGAATAAATATTTTGGATTTGCCACTAAATAACTAATCATCAATCAACAAATATTTAGTGTTGATTCTATAGCATTCAGCCTGGTAAGGCTTTGTGTAAAATGATTCGGGTGCAGAAATGAGTAAGACAGACAAAATCTCTGCTTTCATGAGCCTACAGTCTAATGGGAAAGAAAGACCCTGAGCAAGAAAGTATAAATGTGAAAGGAGTCACATAGGGAAAGTAAAAGGGTGCAGGAACTTGCCTGAACACACAAACATGGCAATTAACATGGCCTATGGGCTCATGGAAGATCTCCCTGAGGATTAGGCATTTAAGAATTACAGAATTAGTAGGACCTGGCTAGACAAAGGTCCAGGTAGTGGGAACAGCATAAGGAATAGTAGCTCATTATCGTAGGCCTCAACTTCTCTGGGTCATGGCTTTTTTATCAGTAAAAACAGTGTTGGACTAGATAAAATCCATAGTGCCTGTCAGTTCTAATACTCAATTTTTCTGTAAGTCAATGTTCTATTAATAATTCTTTGAATTACTATAATGATTGAAAAATTCAAGTACACAAGAAGAATAACCCTTCCATCAAAAAGCATGTGTCCTCTAACACAGTTAAGAACAGAACAAATCTTTAATGACTTTCTCAGGTTACTCTACTCAAACTAAAATAAAGCTAAAATCAAAAGTAAAATCAAATTTTAGCTGTGGAAATTCAACAAAGGTGACTAAGTATTAAGAACTGAGTGCACATATTCTGTTTCCAAAAGGCCATCTAAAACAACGGGCAGGGGTTGGGCAGATAATTCAAAAAGACTCCCCTGCCCAAAATGGTAAAGGAAAATCAGCATCAAAATTTTGGAAACAGAAAGGAACAGATTAAGGGTAACTGACTTAAAAGACCTGAAATGGCTACACCCTAAGTCAAAAATGAGAAAAACCAAACAACACTTTGATTTATACTGTAGAATTCCTAGAGGCTCATACACTTCTGCAAGAGGGAACAAAGGAAGAGCTCAAAACAGGATTGGTTGAAAACTGGTTAAGATAACAGGCACAGTTGAAGGCAGGAATACCAAACTAAAATTGGGTGATTTTAAGACAAAGTGTTCATTCTGAATATTGAGACTCCTAAACTTTTTCCCCACCAGATGATTGTCACTCAGGTTTATACCTTCTGGCAGCAGCTTAGAAGAGCCTTCCTTTGAAGAATCTCACTAGCCCAGTAGAAAAGACTTTAAGTGACAGGCATGAAATGTTACCTTCCCCTAAAATACAGCCCAGCCACATCAATCTACAATAAATTAGATAAACCTCATCCCTGTGTAGAGAATTTTTAGCATCAATCAGCCTTTCAGCATCACACTTCTTTTTTTGAGATGGAGTCTTGTTCTCGTCTCCCAGGCTGGAATGCAGTGGCACGATCTCGGCTCACAGCAACCTCCACCTCTGTTCAAGCAATTTTCCTGCCTCAACCTCCCAAGTAGTTGGGATGCGCCACCATGCCCAGGTAATTTTTGTAGTTTTAGTAGAGACGGGGTTTTACCATGTTGGCCAGGCTGGTCTTGAACTCCTGACCCCAGGTGATCTGCCCACCTCAGCCTGCCAAAGTGCTGGGATTAGAGGCATGAGCCACCACGCCCAGCGATAGCATCACACTCTTACCCATTATTGGGAAGTCAAAGGTTACTAGAAATTTGAGGAAAGCCTTTATTATGAAAGAGACTAAAACTAACAGAAATGGTCTAATTAAACAAAGAAAGTACACAGGGAGAAACAAGAACAAAAAATAGTATCTTCAAAAATGTAAGTCAGAATGGAAGGCTATTAAAAAAGGAACACTTCGAGAATGAAGAGCTCTTATAAATTAAAAAGATAAAAGAAAGAGAAAAATCTCAATAGAAGGGGTAGAACATAGAATTAAATTTCTTATAAAGTAGAGGGGGGAAAAAGATGGAAAACAGGAAGGAAAACACAAGAAAATTAGGAGGACTGGCTCAGGAGGTCAAGTATCCCAATAATAAGGAGTTCCAGAGAGAAAGAAAGAACACAGAAAACAATGAAGAGGCAATCAACAAAACATTTCCAGATTTTTTTGTGTGTGTATTTTTTAATAGAGAAGGGGTTTTGCATATTGGCCAGCTGATCTTCAATTCCTGGTCTCAAGTGATCCGCCCACCTTGGCCACCAAAAGTGCTGGGATTACAGGCATGAGCCACCGTTCCTGGCCAAGATAATTTTTTAATATTGAAGGCTATAACTTTCCCCACATCAGTTCATATCATCACATCCAGCTAATTTTTTTTGTATTTTTAGTAGAGATGGGGTTTCACCATGTTGGCTAGGAAGGCATCTATCTCTTGACCTTGTGATCCGCCCACCTTGGCCTCCCAAAGTGCTGGGATTACAGGCGTGAGCCACCGCGCCCAGCCTGATTGTGTATTTTCAAATAGCCTGTCTTCAAGCTCACTAATTATTTCTTCTGCCATCAATTCCAGTATTAAAGGACTCTGAGGCATTCTTCGAAATGCCAACTGCATTTATCAGCTCCAGAATTTCCACTTGATTCTTTTAAATTATTTTAATCTCTGTTACATTTATCTGATAGGATTCTGTATTTCTTCTCAGTGCTATCTTGAATTTCTTTGACTCTCCTCAATACAGATATTTTGAATTTTCTGTCTGAAAGGTCACAAATCTGTTTCTCCAGGATTGGTCCCTGGTGCCATATTTAGTTCATTTGGTTAGGTCATGGATGGTGTGGATGCTAGTAGATATTGAAGAGTTAGGTATTTATTGTAGTCTTCACTGTCTGGGCTTATCTGTACCCATCCTTCTTGGGCTTTCCAGATATACCTTGGGCTTTCCAGATATTTTAAAGGACTTGGGTGTTGTGATCTAAACTGTATCTGCTTTAGTAACATTGTGGCTCTTGCAGCCTCGTAGTGGTACCACCTTGATGGTCTTGGACAAGATCTGGGAGAATTCTCTGGATTATCAGGCAGAGACTCTTGTTCTCTTCCCTTACTTTCTCCCAAACAGTCTCAGTGTCTCTCTCTCTCTCTCTCTCTCTCTCCTCAGCCACCTAACGCTGGGGGTGGAGTGACACAAGCACCCCTGCGGCCACCACCACTATGACTACACTGGGTCGGACCTGAATCCAGCAAAGCACCAGCACAGCACTGGGTCTCACCCAAGGCTTGCCGTAAGCACTCCCTGGCTATTGCCTATGTTCGCTCAAGGCTCTGTGGTTCCACAATCAGCCAGTGGCAAAGCCAGCTAGGCCATGTCCTTTCCTTCAGGGGAGCAAGGTCCCCCAAGCCTCAGGTGGGTCTAGAGGTGCCATCTGAGAGTCAGGGACTAGAGTCAAAAACCTTAGAGGTCTACCCAGTATTCTATTGTACTATGGCTGAGCTGACACTCAAACCACAAAACACAGTCTTTTTCATTCGTGCCTCCCCTTTCCAAAGCTAGACGAGCCTCACCCCATAGCTACCACCACCCCAGGCCACAAGGAGTATTGCCAGACAAGCATCAATGTTCCCTTAAGCTTAAGGCCCAGGGATTCTTAAGTTAGTTTATGGAGAATACTGCCTGGCCCAGGACTCACCCTTCAGGGCAGTGGGTTCTTCTGTAGTCCAGGGCAGGTCTAGAAATGCCATCTAAGAATCAAGTCTTGGAATCAGGGATCCCAAGAGTGTATCTGGTACTCTATCCCTCCGTGGCTGTGCTGGTACCTGAAGCCAGAAAGTCTCAGAGCCTCACACAAAGTCCTTGACATAGTAGCTGGGTATCAATGCTGGTTATTCACAGCCCATGGGATCTTAAGTTAGCAGCTGATGCATGTGGCCAGTACTGAGTCCTTTTCTTCAAGGCAGTGGGTTCCCTTCTGGCCCAGGGTATGTCTAGAAATGTCATCTGAGAGCTGGCACCTGGAACGGGGAGCTTTGTGACTCTGACTGGTCCCCTATCCTGCTGTGATCAAGTGGTATCTAAGACGCAAGACAAAGTCCTGCCCAGTCTTCCCTCTCAAGTGGAAGAAAGGGGTCTCTTTTGGAGCCATGAGCTGTGTAGACTGGCGTTGGGGTCGGGGTGGTGGGGGGTGAGCCAGCACTCCCTTGGTTACCCCAGCTGGTGTCTCAGTATGTCACGTGCCCCTCTGTCCACTGTCTCTGGGATCAGTTCAGCACTAGGACTCGCCTAAGAGTTGCAGTCCTTTTGGCCTAGGCTGCCTTTCAAGTTTATTTGGAGACACACAGCATTATAGCCCTCAGTGGTGAGCCTTGCAGGAATTCAAATTTAGACCACTGAGATCAGCAATTCCCCTCTGGCTAGGGTTGGTTTAAATGCTCCCTCTGTGGACCGGTGTCAGCTGAGTTAGGTCCCGTTTTCCTTTCTTCTCTAACAGAATAGCACTGAGTTCAATGCCTCACAATTGCTGTTTTCTCCCTCCCCCAGCACCCAGAGACACTCTCTGCACCACACTGCCACTGCTGCAGGGGGAGGAGTGGCACTGCCAATTCAGGACTGTTTTTTCTATCTCTTCAGCGCCTCTTTCAGCAATATGAAGTTAAAACTAGGTAGTGTAAGTGCTCACCTGATTTTTGGTTCTCATGAAGGTGCTTTTTTCTGTGTAGAGTTGTTAAACTGGTGTCCTTGGCAGGGGGAATGATCAGTGGAGCCTTCTATTCCACCATCTTACTCTGCCTAATTTCCCTTTTGATTTCTGTAATGTCAGTAGTAATATCTCATCTTTCACTCCTGATTTGAGTAATTTAAGTCCTCTCTGTTTTTTCTTGGTTAGTCCAGCCAGATTTGTTGATTTTGTCTTTTCAAAGAACGAACATTTAGTCTCCTTGATCTCCTCAACTGTTTTTCTATTCTTTATTTTTTAAATTTCACTCTAATCTACATTAGTTCCTTCTTTCTACTTGCTTTGGGTTGAGTTGGCTCTTCTTTTTCTAATTTCTTAAGGTAGAAGGTTAAACTACTGATTCGATATATTTCTTTTTTTTAAAATACAGATGTTTATAAGCTACAAATTTTCCTCCAAGCACAGCTTTAGCTGCATTTCATGAGTTTTGGTATGTTCAAATTTTGTTTTCATTAATCTTAAGTATTTAAAAATTTATCTTGTAATTTCTTTATTTGATCCATTGATAATTTAGGAGTGCACTGGTTTAAAAATTACTGTACTTTCTATTATTACCTGCCAAAAGAGTTTATTTTCTGTATTTTGTATTACAAATATTTCTTTTTAAGTTTCCCCCAAATTTAATATTGTATTATAATACTAAATATTCTTTTTCAAACTATACTCTCCTTATTTATAATCAGTATTCTATTCTAGGCCACTTCTTCCTCCTTAACCTGACCTTTCTCTCCTTAGCTCTGGTGAACAGTTTTAGTAGATGACCCCGTCCACTTATTCAGTTACTACTACTGACCAAGCCCATGCACTAGCTCCTTGCCCTCAGGAACTTATCTTCTCGTGAAAAAAGAGTGACATGTTTATAAATAAGCAACTAAAATACAATGTGATGTAATGAGAACATACACAAGAAAAACCAAATCTGGTGGGAGGGCAGGAATAAAAAGTTTCTTAGAGATGGCATCTGACCTTTGTCTCAAAGGATGAGTTAACCAAAAATACTCTCACCAAGAAAATAGGAGTAAGAGAAACAACATCCAATTGAAATTGTTCAACGTACAGTTGAATATATTGTATAGCTAAAATCTCAGAGAAAGATGTGATTTGAGATAGATTCACAAGTCCTATTCTCTTACCTCTTGGATTTCATCTGGGACAGTTGAGTCCATCAATCTGAAGAGCAAATTTCGAAGTGGACCTGCCTGCCTCCCGAGAATGCTGGTAGCTACCCCTCCCGCAAGTGCAAGAGCAAGGTGATTTGAAAGTAGCTTCAGGCACAGCTTGAGAAAACTGTGGTGTTCTCTGAAACCAAATAAACTTCTATGAATTTTTGGAACATAAAAGTGCATGTGCTATCCAGTTTGGGTAACATTTTTTTCACTTCAAAAATTTTGCTGGCCAGGTGCAGTGGCTCATGCCTGTAATCCCAGCACTTTGGGAGGCCGAGGTGGGTCAATCACCTGAGGTCAGGAGTTTGAGACCAGCCTGGCCAACATGGTGAAACTCCGTCTCTACTACAAATACAAAAATTAGGTCGGTGTGATGGCAGGTGCCTGTAATCCCCGCTACTCAGGAGGCTGAGGAAAGAAAATCACTTGAACCTGGGAGGCAAAGCTTGGAGTGAACTGAGATCATGCCACTGCACTCCAGCCTGGGCGACAGAGCAAGACTCTGTCTTTCAAAAAAAAAAAAAAAAAAAAATTGTCAAGTCATGAACAACAGTAATTTTTAAAACATGATTTGTGAAATTATGAGTAACTTTTTCCTAGAAGTTATTATCCATAAGTAACTAAGTTTAGCTCTTTTCTAGATTATAAAAAAGTTCCACATAATTTGGGAAAACAAACAAGAAAGAACAGTAAGTCAAAACTCAAAAGGAATAATTTATACACATGCACACACACATACAAAACATACATATAACATACCTTGATGAAGGGAAAGGGAGTGGGGGAATCTCACTGTTTATTTTATCACAGTATCTCTCAAGAAAAGAACGCAGGTGTGAGAAGGTACTCTCTTCAAGATCTACACAATAAGGTCGGTGCCATGCAACAACTTGTCTAGAAGGACACATAAGAAAATAATAAAACAGTCTTAAATTGACATTTTTATCCATAATCAAAAACGAAAATTAAAAGATATATTGGCCGGGCATGGTGGCTCATGCCTGTAATCTCAGCACTTTGGTAGGCCAAGGAATGCAGATCACCTGAGGTGAGGACTTCAGGACCAGCCTGGTCAACATGGTGAAATCCCATCTCTACTAAAAATATAAAAATTAGTCGGGCATGGTGGTGTATGCCTGTAGTCCCAGCTACCTGGGAGGCTAAGGCAGGGGAACTGCTTGAACTTAGGAGGCAGACAATGCAGTGAGCAGAGATTGTACCACTGCACTCCAGCCTGAGCGACAGAGTCAGAATCCATCTCAAAAAGTACATATATACATATATACATTAAAGCTAAATGATTTCAACAAGATACAAAGACATTATTGATTATGAAAGTGATAAAAGCTTTCATTTTAGTGACTAAGGAGGACCAAGAATTTGCCATCTTTAAGAAGAAAACATACAACCACCACCTGTTTTGGAAGGTTTGGATGTCCACTCACCTGAAAGCAGAGGGCTGAGTCACACAATCTACTAAAGCCCCTCTGGTTCTAAGAGTCCAGAAGATGTATACTTCATATTAAGAAAAATATCCTGACTCTATAGAGTGATATACTGAAATCTATTAAAAGACAAAATCCTGAAATTTCTTGTGAATACTTTTAAGATCTTGGGACCCAACTCTCTACATATGAAGTGGGAAGTTGGATATTTAATGCTAACAGCAAATTATTTATATTCAACTTATTTATTTTGACTTTTGCGTTAGAGGAATAACTTTCGATAAATACTTTTAATTGGTTAGAATATCATTTAAAAACCCTCTGAGTCAAAGGCATAGAATGCAAGTAAAATACATTCTAAGCTATAGATTAGCCCATGTGTATCTGAAAATATCTGAAATAACCCAAACATTCTTTAAAATTCAATCTCCTAATAGTAACTAAAACTTACCTACCTGATTGACTTAACACACACAGTTAGCACTTTAGGAAAAAGCTAAGTTTCTGCAAAAAGTAACCTCCTTGATTTAAAAGTATGACAATTTTTTTTTTCAAAAAAAAAAAATTTCAAAAAGCAACCAGATAATGTTAACTGCGGTTAAACATTAAATCAATAAAGCCTAGTTCTGATTTTGATTATTTTAAGTTCCTCTTGATATGCAGCCATTCAATTTTTTTAAATCAGCATGTAGAGATGAGAGAGAATTCAAAATGTTTAAAAGACAATGTCTTCAATACTGGGTATGACTTCTTGTTTCTGAAACATGTCTAACCTCAACATTCAAATCAAAAGAAATCTAATGTCATTTCTATGATAGAGAAAAAGCAATACTATATATGTCCATAAAAGTATTTTATGAACAAAGCACAATTATTTCTGTTTTTATTAGTGTTTCTACTTTCTACTGGTGTCTCTTGGGTTAAAACGCACAAGAATTTTTAAACATAGGCACTCTTACCTGTCCCTAGGAAGAGCAGTCCATGCCAGACTATGTGATGTTCCAGCTGAAATCTGCTGAATAGCTATGCCATCTAAGCCACTCACTTTCTTTGGTTTAGTAATAGGACCTGTGGAATTTCCCTGACCACATTGCCCCATTGAATTATTGCCCCAGGCATAAACTTCATTATCTAAAAACAAAATATAAAGTATTATATAAAAGGAAAGCCAAATTCAAATGTAATACATTTCACAAGACAACAGTTAATACTATTTCCTCAAAAACAAATGACTTTACCATGAGAAAGAGCCAAACAATGACTGTCTCCAATAGAAACATCAACTATTCTTGTGGCAGCCAGTTCTTCAATAAGCTTGGGTCTCAAAGCAGTAGCTTCTGAAGAACCACAACCTAGACAAGCTCCGCAGCCCCAAGCATAGACCTGAAAAAAACAGAAATACACTACACATAACTTCCTGAGATGATTAGATTGTTGGTTTAGGGAGAAACAAAATCTATGAAACTAAAGCATGGTTTGATAGAACTTTCTGATGTTAAAATCATTTTGATCATTTTAAAGATTGTTACAGCAATTTATCATGCTGCCTTTAGGCATTCACTGTATAGGCAAACAGCTGATCTGAAAATAAAAATAATTGGTCATAGAAAAAACAGAAAGGTTTTCAGAGAGGGTCTGCTAAACTACTAATTGGCTTGCAATTTGTTATATTTGCCCCATCTTACCAGCCTTGAAAATACTGTCTAAAAACTTATCCTTTATGTGTTTCTCACTATTCTGGTGAGATTTAAGATCAGAACAAGGTATGATAATATAAAATGGATTATATAAATCACAAAACTGATGTTTATTATTTAGTTTTAGAAATACCTCACCTCATTGTTACAATAATTATCACTTACAAAGAGGGTCATGTGAAGCAGTAGCAAGATAGTTCCCCTTTATCATCTTCATTTTTGACTAATCAATACCAAAATAAGCACTAACTGATTTAAGATGCTTGGGGAAAGGGTTAGGTGGGGGGAAAAAAAATTTTGTCTTTGGCAAGACAAATAGGTGAGTGAATGCCAATCTGGCAACCCGAAATCAACAAAATCAAAACAATCAGCAATCTGAATGATTTTTTTTATCTTCAATAGATTTTGGTAAGATTATATAGACTGTTATCTTTATGCCATCAAATCTGAGAATTTGTCTTTGTCTTGCAATTATTTTAGGAAAGACTGCTGCTGAGAGATTAAACCACTTCAATTAAAAATAAAGAGCACTGTACAGGTGTAGTGGCTCAAGCCTGTAATCCCAGCACTTTGAGAGGCTAAGGCAAGAGGATCACCTGAGTTCAGGACTTCAGTACCAGCCTGGACAAGGTGGCAAGACCCGATCTCCACAAAAATTTTAAAAATTGCCCAAGCATTGTGGCACAGACCTGTGGTCCCAGCTACTCGGGAGCCTGGGCGGGGAGAATCTCTTGAGCCCAGGAGGTCAAGGCTGCAGTGAGCCATGTGTGTGCCACTGTACTCCAGCCTGAGCAACAGAGTGAGACCCTGACTTCAAAATAAAACAAAATGAGAACATATATTTGTACTTGTTTCCAGATAACTTACTTAAGTATAGAATACAACAAAATTCCAGTACATAAGGCATATTTTAGGAGATGTTAGGAACTAAAGATAAGGACAATGAAATAACATATAGTCAAAATCATCACAGAAAATTTTCCTAAATTACTCATGAAGTATAATATACAGTCATATACCATTCGGTCAATAACAGACCACATTATACAACAGTGGTCCCGTAAGATCTAATGGAGCTTTGACGCCAGTATTTTTACTGTACCTTTTCTATGTTTAGATATGTTTAGATACATACTTACCATTATATTACAATTTCTGAAGGTATTCAGTACAGTAACATGCAGTACAGGTTTATAGCCTAGGAGCAATAGGCTGTACCATATAGTCTAGGAGCATAGTAGGCTACACCACCTAGGTTTGTGTGGTACTCTCTACAATGTTCTCACAATAACAAAATGGCCTAATAACACATTTCTCAGAACATATCCCATTGAGTGACACATCACTGTAATACTGTCACTCAGTAAGGCCTACAAAGAGTTTTCTCTTGCAGTGTTCCTTCGGTTCGGCACCAGATGAGAAATACTTGGCTTGCCTTTAGAGACTGGACCATACTGCATAGCATGGTAGGAAGTAAGCACAGAAGAGGCCTGAAAGGGCTGAGACAGACTGAGGGAAAAGCAAATGTTGATCGTCATTTCACGCTCAAGTTTAATGGTAAAAAGAACTACTCTTACCCTTTAAAAGTATTTCTGACTTTACTTTTTTCCATGCATATATATTTGATTTCATATAACTTAAGGTACTCATAATACAACTATTCTATACAGTAAACAATGTACAAGTTCTCTTGGAACTTGGAATTCAATGTAATGGATTTATTACTATTATTATTATTACTACCACCACCAATAGTTGAATAGTACTTGATACTCTACAAAACTCTCAATTCTAATGATTATCTTATAAGATCATGTGTATGCAAAGCAGAAATTATTATTCCCTCATAAAAAAAGAAGCACATGATGCTCAAGGGATGTGTTATTTGCCTGTGTGTATACATCAAATACATAAGCTAACTTCAATTCATGGATTCTTACTACAAAACCAATAGTGAGAAATACATAGAAGAGATATTTTTAAGGAAGCAACTAGCTAATGTAATGATGAATAGCTTGAAGATTTTTAGGACGCAAGGCATTCTAGTTTCTCAAAGAATAATCAAATTATATGCTAATTTCAGCTTTTCTGCTCATCTGCCTTGTGAATTAGTCATAAAACACTTTTATACCACTGCCTGACACAAGGTGGCCTCCTATACATGACAGAATAAGTGGTCAGCTCACTTTTTTACTGCCATCACTGATGGATACACAGGGACAAATATTGTCAGTCTATAACTATACCTGGCTCCTCCCTATCCTCAACAAACAAATAGGGTAAGAGTGAAAACACACATGTAAAAAGTTCAAAGCTTATAAGCTATTAAAGTGCAAAGCTTATGAGCCTTTATAAAGGCTCATAAAATTCTGACAATCCTAAGCCTGACTTTATGCTGTTTCTCAGAAACAACTAACTCTCTCAGATTATTTTCCATACCTAAGTGTTCTCTTTACCCTCCTTTTTGATCACCCTCTTGCCTTCTTAATTCATATCACTGGTTCCGTCAAGATCTAGTTCACCTTTCCCCCACTATCCATGATGTTTTGGAAAAGGTTTAAGGGAAGCTAAATGCTAAAACATTTTAGAAAATCAGTTTAATACAAAGAACAGACGCTCCACTAAGGTTTACATGGGTCACACAGGCCAGGTTAGAAAACCTGGTTCCTTCTCAGATACTCTACTTCAAACAGAAGAAAATATTTCATTTCAGCATGTTGCCTAAAAATGTATTTATTTGAACTTTAAAATTTAAATACAATTATTACTTTTTAGTCACCTCATCCTTTGAAATACTCTGAGTCTTTTATACTCATCCCTTAGTCCTACCTGCCCTGTTGATGTCAAAGCAAGTGAAGACTGGCTCCCAGCACAAACTTTGCGAATGAACATTCCTTGTAAAGCTTCAATAACTTTAGGTTTATACACTCTGTTGGTATCACCGTGACCAAGTTTACCTATAAAAACAAACACATTAAATAATTTACTTGTTTTAAAGAATCTCTACTCTTAACACTACCAAAGTTGATAAAGTGCTCTAATGTTTCCATCACTAACCTGACAGATATGAAAAGCTATGTTTCTGATAGCTGAGGATGCTAACAAATGAGCATTTTTATTACAAGAAAGTTAACAAACATCCACTGATAGCCTTTTATATCTTAATTTCAAGCAACTAAAATCAAGCAATTTAAAATCACTTTAAAAGAAACAGAAAACTATTTTTCTGTCTTTCTCCCCCTTTAATGGCTATATTTCTAACTTCGAATTTGCTGACATAATATACAGGTATGATACAAGAATGTACATGCATATAATTTTTCATAAACTTTTAAAAAGAATCAATAGCTCATGAAATTGAAAACCTGACAAATCATTAAAGAAGAAAAACAAACGTCCAACAGTCTACAAATCCAACCACACCAGGGATAAAAAAAGTATAAATTAAATATCATTTTCACTATTGAAATTATTTAATTAAATTAGATACATGCTGTTGTTGAAGACTTTAGGGAAGTAAGCATTCACATTGCTAGTAGGAGTGACTAAAGTAGACAAAGATTTAGTCATTCATTGTGTTGTTAATACTGAAAAAAATTAAAACCATCTAGATACTCAACAATAAGAAACTGGTTTTATAAATTGTGCCACCATCAAATAAAAGAACACTCTGAGCCACTTAAAAGAATGATTCAGAGTCATGCTTGTTGATATAAAAAAGATACTCATGCTGGGCACAAAGGTTCACGCCTGTAATACAAGCACTTTGGGAGACCAAATCTGGCAGATCACTTGAGCCCCGAAGTTCGAGGCCAGCCTGGGCAATAAAGCAAAATCCTGTCTCTAAAAAAAATATAAAAATTAGTCAGGCGTGGTGGTGCGTGCCTGTAGTCTCAGCTACTTGGGGGGGCGGAGGCAGGAGGATCTCTTGAGCCCAGGAGGTTGAGGCTGCAGTGAGCCAGGTTTGCATTACTGCACTCTAGCCTGAGTAACAAAGCAAGACCCTGTCTCAAAAAAAAAAAAAAAACTATTAGAGTAAAACATATATATGTCAAAACGTATGTAAACTTATATAAAACATACACATATAGCTATACTTTGGTTTTTTAAAAGACATCTAAGTAGAAATATATGTAAATACTTGTATAAATGTATATTTATTTAGAAGTCTATTTCCAAAATGTTAACAATGGTTAAAGTAACATTTGTGAAAGCTCAGTTCATTTTTTAATTTCTGCTCATCTGTATTTGAGTCTTTCTACACTAGGCATATATAACTGAAAAATAAATTTTTTTAAAACTCAAGAAAAAAGCCAAAGCTACTGATAAATAATTTTTTACATACCATTGTCTCCTCCTCCAAAAGACCATACAGTTCTCCCATCTTTAGACAGAGCAATAGTATGTGAACTGCCACAAGAAACCTCTCCTACATTGCTAATGTCTTTTACTAATGTTGGAATGTTTCGACTATTGCTGTCACCATGACCTTGGATAAAACACACACAACAACAAAGAAACAATGTTAACTCTTTTTCTCTAGGCCTTGACTTCACAAGTAGAATAAATGTTATAACTTTAAAATAGAATTGAGATTTTTTAAAAATGCAATGCAATATGAAAAAGAGAATCATTTCTAACATCTTCTCAATCTTCCAAGCTGCTCCTAAACTGGGTCATAGTCACTTCAGTGAACCATTAGAATATTCTTTTCATGATCTCCTCACAGGCACTTACCTTATGTTGTCCTGTTTCATGCTCATGTTGACTTGTTTTCATTACCTACTAGATTATAAACTTCAGGATCATGATGGTAATGTTTTATCCCAGAAACCCTACAGTGTCTGGTCATAATAGGGCACACTCAGTAAATGCTTGCTAGATTTAATACATCTTAAATATCAGCACTAAAATCTAGGTCTTAGTCTTACCTATATAAAATTATCTTCCTCTGAGCTTAAAGTAACAAAATAAATGACAGTCTTTGGCCTAGTAAATCTACTCTCATGGCTTCTCAGTAACTTAATCATTTCTATTTTTCTGGAAGAATAACTTCCATTTTTAAAAAATCTTACCTAATCTTCCAAAGTCTCCTTCACCCCATGTGTATAATTCCCCATCCTCTGTGACGGCAGCACTATGTCTGTATCCAGCTGACACACAAACAACTACCTGCATTGCACACAAGTAAATACGATGAGCATGCACGTTAAAACATATAGTCCATATTTGATCCTGTACACAGGGACTTCACAGATACTAATATTCAAACCCATCCAGGAATTTCCATGTACAGTTGTGGAAGCTATGCTCAGGACAAGGATGACTGGCTAAGGGTTCAAGTAAGTGCTGAAATACATGCCTGTAATCCCAGCACTTTGGCAGGCCGAGGCAGGCAGATTGCTTGAGCTCAGGAGTTCGAGTTCAGCCTGGGCAACATGGCAAAACCCCGTTTCTTTTAAAAAATATGAAAATTAGTCAGGCATGGTGGCACACGTCTATAGTCCCAGCAACTCAGGAAGCTGAGTTGGGAGGACCACCTGAGCCCCAGGAAATCAAGGATGCAGTGGGCTGAGATAGCGCCACTGCACTCCAGCCTGGGTGACAAAGTGAGATCCTGTCAAAAAAAAAAAAGAAAGAAAAGAGAGGAGGGGAGGAGAGAGGAGATTAATAAAAAGAGAAGATACGGGCTCAGTTTCTAATGGTTCCAATTATTTGTGTGGGTCCTTGGCAATTACTTAGCTACTCTAAATGCCTCACCATTCAGGTCTCTATTAAGATGTCACCTCTTTTAAGAGCACTCTCTGACCCTACCTCATTACCTAATACCACATCCTGCCCAAGGTACTCTTTATTGCTCATTTTTTTCTTTAATATTATCTGAAATTATTTCATATGCTTGTTAACTTATTATCTCTATCCTGAAGACTAAAGGATTAAAGTAGAGACCTTACCTGTCTTGTTCACTGCTACACATCTAATGCCTAAAATACTGCCTGACACTTGAAAAGTGCTAAATGTTTGTTAAATGAATGACTCTCGGTTTGCTTATCTGTGAAATAGGGATAACTACCTTACAAGACTAATTATAAGAATATAAGAATTAAAATTCAATAATGTATATATAAAGGTGTTCTGTAAATTATAAAGCAGATATACAAAAGATTAAGCCAAAGGGTTGAACGGGCAACAGCAGAAAGACCACATCAAAATCTGAAAGATATTGTCAATTACAACACCAATGCATCTAATTATTTTTATAACCAAAAAGAAAGCACATACCTTTCCTTGTAGAGGTCCCTGAATAAGCTTGGGATATTTCTGTGTTGAACTATTTCCATGCCCCAGTTTCCCATAATCACCATCTCCCCAGCTGAAGACTTCTCCTTCTGTCGTAAAAGCTAAAGTGTGACCATCAGATCCTTTAGAAGATGAAACCTTTTTAATGGATCTGTGAGGCTCGAATGTTAACTTTTTTAAAGTTGACTGATTATTGGAGTCTCCAAGGCCCAGTCTCCCATAGCTGCCTTTCCCGCAAGCTCTAACAGAGCCATCCGTAGAAATGACAAAAGTGCAGTACTGTCCAGCTTCAATCTATAAACAAAGAATCATAAATATAAAATACTTCTGTGAGTATCAAAGTATAATATTTAAGGCTGGTTTTATCAAAGAGCCTCAAAGGAAGTCTTATAGCAGAATATGGCATGATTCTCCAGAGAGATTAAGGAATATACAGAAATGTAAGAGAACACGAATGGCCTTTTCATGCTCATGACTTTGTTGCTGAGTTCAAATTCTTCATGTATATGTTATCTTTTCAGGTTATTGTCCAGATTATGATTGAATGAAACAACAAAGTAAAATGCTTAATATCCTCTTATAACCGAGAATGGCAAGACATAAAATTTTCCTTCCTATAAATTCCTCAGGGTACATTATGGCAAGAACCATATAAAATGTATTGTAAACCTATTTGGAAAAAATACATTTTAATGAAAGTAACAAATACAAAGTTCTAGCTGGGCTATAAATGTAAAAAAAAAAAAGTGATCATAAGAAAATGAAAGGCTAATCTAGCAAAAAGAAATTCCAGTTTTTTTTTTTTTTTTTTTTTTTTTTGAGACAGAGTCTTGCTCTGTCACCTGGGGTGGAATGCAGTGGTGCAATTTTGTTTCACTATAACCTCCATTTACCAGGTTCAAGCAATTCCTGCCTCAGTCCCGCCGAGTAGCTGGGATTACAGGCACATGCCATCATGCCTGGCTAATTTTTGTTAAGTATTTTTAGTAGACAGGGTTTCACCATGTTGGTCAAGCTAGTCTCAAACTCATGACCTCAAATGATCCACCCACCTCGGCCTCCCAAAGTGCTGGGATTACAGGTGTGAGCCACCATACCTGGCCTTTATTTACTCTTATTTGCCATTTGTGGTGAACATAAGGGTAAAGTCTGTTGCTATTCTTAACACTTTTTAAAAATCGAGATCCCAATTTAGTTATTCAAAAGTTGGAAATGCTGTCAGGGATACTGGGGACTAAAAATGTATTTTTATTTTTATTTTTATTTATTTATTTATTTTTTTGAGACGGAGGCTCACTCTGTCACCCAGGCTGGAGTGCAGTAGCGTGATCTCGGTTCACTGCAACCTCCGCCTCCCAGGTTCAAGCTATTCTTCTGCCTCAGCCTCCCGATTAGCTGGGACTACAGGCATGCGCCACCATGCCTGGCTAATTTTTGTATTTTCAGTAGAGATGGGGTTTCATCATATTGGCCAGGCTGGTCTCGAACTTCTGACCTCATGATCCACCTGCCTCGGCCTCCCAAAGGGCTGGGATTACAGGCGTAAGCCACTGCGCCCGGCCAAAATGTATTGTTCTATTAAAATGATAAAAACTAATGCAGCATATAGATCAGAAATAATCATCGATAATTTTCACTCATTTAAAAAATACTCAATATTATTTAATGCAAATAAACATGAATATACACCAGATTATCTACCAGTTTGTAAGCTATTTAGAAAACTTACGGTCTGTGCATCAGAGAAACTAGGAGCCAGTTTGGGTTGCAGTATTTTCTCCTGTGTACCTTCTACCAACTGATGGCTGCTATTGCTCCCCCAAACATAAACCTCACAGGTTTCGGAGACAATGGGAGCATCACCAGTCTGAATGCTATCTGGGCTAGCACATGTTCTCGAATAATCAGAAGCCATTCTGCAAACCTATTAAAAATTTAAAATACGCAACAAATAGTTAAGACAGTTTTAGTCTGGGCATTTTTAAATATATATCCTCTGAAATTACTGTTGCCTTTCCTTCTAATACTCTTAAATGTTCAAAGAACCTATTAAATAAAGATAACTAGACTACTTACTCACATGGAATAAACCACTAAAAGACACTAATAAAGTGGCAAAAGTGGGAAAGGGGAGACACACAATCTTTTAGCTAAACATTTTATTACTGCATACAAAACACTGTAGAAAAACAAAGCTTAAGAAATAAAGTAGAAAAAATCACCATGGATAATCTTAACACCTTAATACAATAAATTTTACGTTTTAAATATATGTCCTTCCAGAGTTTTTCATATACAAATTCTTTAACACAGTCACCACATTGGATACATAAAAATGACAAATTGCACAAAACAGTCATGCAAATCCATGTCTACCTAGTCTTCATGATTGAATAGATAATATTCCATCTAGTAAAAAACATCACAATGTACTCAACCACTTCCCCACCCCCAACTTTTTTTTTAAATAGGTGGGGTCTCACTATCTTACACAGACTAAACTCAAACTCCTGGGTTCAAGCAATCCTCCCACCTCAGCCCCCCAAGTAGCTGAGATTACAGGCCCGCATATAATCATACCTGGCTCCACTTTCCTTTAATAGGGCATTTACAGTCTATTTATTTGTTATATAGGCCATTTTTAAGGATATAGTTGTTACTATACTTTTTATTGCTTCCTTAGTAGAGAACCTCAGAAATGGGACTCGATATTCAAAAAAAGACAAGAATCCTATGATTCTTGAAACATACTGTATCAAATTGTATTCCAAAATGGTGCTATAATACGTCACTAGTAATGTACAAAAGAAGGCTGTTCTAAAAACAGCGAAGGCACAAAGCAATTAACATTCACACATATATATGAATATATAAGATAAAAATCATGGCTTGTTTACCATTTCTGTAGAATATAACGGTAAAGTCTGTTGCCATTCATAAGCTTTTTTAAAAATCCAGGCTGCCTGCCAAAAGCATAGGACCCACGGTGGCCATGCCAGTAGCAATTTCACTGAATCCATACTCATTATGAGTATTATGCTTTTAAATTTTTTTGCAAATGTAAGTGAGGAAAAAGGAAAAGGCCCTTATCTTAATTTCACATTTCTTTATTGTGAGCAAAACTAAAGTTTTTCCATCTATTTGTTTACTACATTTTGTGACGTGAACTTCTGCTCATTTATTTATTAGAATTTAATAGATTTTTTAATTGACTGGTATGAACTCAATACAATAAAGATATTAACTCTGACTACAGTGACTATCAATTTGTTTTCTGCCTTTTAGTTTTTTTGATTTTGCTGAATCAAGCAAAACAATAAAAGAAACTTAAGAAGTTAACACATTAGTTTGCCAGCACATGAAATGGGGGAGGATAGGGTCCTCTTGGTCAGATACTTTAAATAGTATCCAAAACAACAGAATAATATGTGTGTTAGACAAATATTTTCCAGTGAACATGAGGACAGTATCCGAGGACAGCTGCCAGTCCCTAATAAAAGGTCTGGAATTTTGCTGGAGACAAAGAAGGATAGTGGGGCCAAGAGGGTCAGAATTGTTCATCTAAAGGTCTATCATGGCCAGTGTGGTGGCTCACGCCTCTTGATACTGGCCAACCAGGATTCCTTTCCAGGACAAAGCCCCTACACTGAGAAAAACTACTGAGAGTAGAATAAAAATTGAACAGGATAGGGACAATAGAAAGGAAAGATGGAAAGGAAAGAGAATACCAAGACAAAAGTTGGGAAGGGGAACAAACTGGAAAACCATTTTTTTTTTAACATTACACACACACAAAAAAAAAAAAACCAGAGGGAGGGAGTCTATGGAGTTTAAAAAGCCATCTTAAATCCCACCTCATTCTAAGAGTTCAGGAAAACTAATCCTACATAGAAATAAGCAACAAAAAAGTATTGAGGTCAAATCCCATATGAAGTTATTATAAAGTTGCAGTGAGCCAAGATCATGCCACTATACTCCAGCCTGGGCGGCAGAGACACCATCTCAAAAAAAAAAAAAAGACACAAAGGAAAAACAGAAATCTGAATTACAAACCCTCAAAAATGAGGTAACATAACTCAAGAATTAGAAATAAAAGAAAAAAAAACATTTTGGAACTGAAGACTAAACTAGAAGAAACCCAAAAGTAAATAAATACAGTAGATAATGCCCTAAGAGTAATGAAAGACAAAAGGCATTTTTAGAAATTAAAAAATTTAAAAAGACAAAGTATTCAAGAAAAACTGACAAGTATTAAAATCAGGCAAAGATCAACACGCACATAATAGAAATCCCTGAAGAACAGAACCCAATCAAAGGAATAAAAATAATAGAACAAACTGCAATTTTGGAACATTTTCCTGAAATAAAAAAGATCTGAAAGTACGTATTGAATCATCACATCTCTTAAGAATATCAACCCAGAATGAATAATATCAAGACATATTCTATAGTAAAATTAGTGATCTTTAAAGGGGAAAAAAAAAATTCTTTGGGTTTCTCAGCAAATATGCGTGGCTTACACAGGAGAGAAAATCAGATTACCTTTGGACTTTGACAGTAACAGTTCATGCCAGAAGAGAATGTAGTAACATATTTAAGATATACAAGAAAAGAAAATGTGAACTAAAGAAAAGATGAACTAAAGAATATTATCAACACTGACATTCAAGAATAAAGAGCACAGCAATTATCAACATGCAAAAACTCAGAAATCTTGTTCTGATGACTCTTTATTGAGAAATCTACTAGAGAATGACCCTCAAACTATCAAAAAGAATAGACATTGACACAGAGACTAGTATTCAGCATTAAATATGTAATCATTTGTAGAACTAATACCAAAGGAAGGTTAAAACAGAGACAGGCTGGGTGCCATGGTTCATGTCTGTAATACCAGTATTTTGGGAGCCTAAGGTAGAAGGATCGCTTGAGCTCAGGAGTTTAAGACCAGTCTGGGCAACCATAGCAAGACCTCATCTCTACTAAAAATTTAAGTAAAAAAAAAATTAGCCAGGTGTGATGGCACATGCCTGTAGTCCCAGCTACTTGGGAGGCTGAGGCCAGAAGATCACTTGAGCCCAGGAGATAGAAGCTGCAGGGCACTATGATCATACCACTGCACACTCCAGCCTGGGCAACAGAGCAAGACTGTCTCAAAAAAACAAACAAACAAAAAAAATGCAGAGAGTATGTAATAACTATATGCCCTATATAGATGTAATGCAATTACTAAAAAACAGGGAAAGCATACTTTAGAAATTAATTTTTTCAGTAACCATACAGTAGTTATTTGTCTTATTTTAGGACTGTTTATGTGTATATGTGTGTAACATGTAATTAAAACAAATGAGTAATAATGGCATTTTCTAATTCTCATCCTTGTATCTATGGGAATCAGAAATCTTAGTTTAAAAGGAAGAAGATATAAATGTAAAGGTTAAGTAAAAATTCTATAGCTGTGAATTTGAAAGTATCAGTATGAACTCATTAGGTATCTTAGCTTTAAATACACATGTATACACATCCTAGCTCTGTCCACTATGAATATAAAAGCCTAGAAATAAGATCAATTCAGTAGCAGTAAGCATTTCTAGCACCCTGATTGTGGTCTTGAAGCATCATTTTCCAATAAAAGAAACCAGGACTTTTTTTCAGAAAACTAACTAGATGATTTCAGATTGGGGGCAAGAAATGTGTAAGATCAGCCAGAAACAATGAAACATATTAGAAAGCAAGGAGACTATAAAAGATTATTAGGCTTATGATAAAATAACTTAGGAACTACCCTGAAGAGACTAATAGCCAAAATTGAAACAATATGACCTTCACTGCAGATAATAATTCAATGTGCTGAAACTCAAACAGGCTTAAATCTGTGGGTTCATAATGATTTATTTATTTATTTATTTTTTTGAGACACAGTTTCGCTCTTGTTGCCCAGGCTGGAGCACAGTGTCATGATCTCGACTCCCTGCAACCTCTGCCTCCCGGGTTCAAGCAATTCTCCTGCCTCAGCCTCCTGAGTAGCTGGGATTACAGACGTCCGCCACCCCACCCAGCTAATTTTTTGTATTTTTAATAGAGACGAGGTTTCTTCATATTGGCCAGGCTGGTCTCAAACTCCTGACCTCAGGTAATCCACCCGCCTCGGCCTCCCAAAGTGCTGGGATTACAGGTGTGAGCCACTGCGCCCAGCCCATGGTATTTTTTAAATGAAGTTAATTGGCCAAGTTTGGAGGATGGTAGGAGGACAATTCATTAAATTGAAAACTGGTAAATAAAGAACAGATGAAAAGAATCAAGCATTTAGTCTGCTTTTCCTATATAAACCGTAGCAGAGTAATCAGTCAATAAGGGAATCTCTTCATAAAAATATTGCAACTAATTGTTGGGAAAAAGCTGAGTGTTGGGAGGGAAACTGAGGCAGGACTTGCATAATGTCCTCTCGAATGTGTCTAGACTTGCTGGTTCCTTGCTTCTAGCCCTCCTAGGCGCCTAAGCTCCTACTCCCATTATCTCAAGTAGCAGAACACGTTCCATATAAATGCTAAACCATCACAGTTGTAGACCATGTGCCTGCCCTTTTGACCTCCACATTCTCACCACCTGTTTCTTTCTTTGATTACCAATAAATACCATGGGCTCCCAGAGCTCAGGGCCTTCACAGCCTCCACAATAGCAATAGCCCCTTGGTGTCCCACCTTTCTCTCTCAAACAGTCTTTTTTTCCTCCATCCTTTGACTCCGCCAGATTTTGTCACCCCCACATTCCTGGCTGCCCAATGTGGGGTGACAAAGACCCCGATGAAGGAACACCAGAGCGTGTGAAAGCAGAGGATACAACATCAAAGGACACCCGAGGAAGTCTAAAAGCAGCTCGGGGGAAAGCTGAGCACTTGGAAGAACCAGGGTAACAATAGAACAA